GTACTCCTAAGCACTGAGCGCAGGTTTGGTGGGTTTGTCGAAGATTTCCTTCGTTGTCTTTGTCGTCTTCCATTCCCCCCTCTCCCTTCTGTGTTTTTCCTCTGCCATCAAAAGAGAGAACGGGCTGGCGACGGCTTGCTGTAGACCCACAGCAGTCCTAGCGGCGAAGTGATTTCCGCGGTATCTGGTGCCACCGCGTGGCCGGTCGGCAAAAGTGCGTCGCAGTTGTTTCCGCGATCTCTCGTGGCCAATCGGGGGAACTGCATCGAGGCGGTTTCTGGTGCCCCCACGCGGTCAATCGGCAGAATTGCGGCAGCGTTGCTATGTCGCAGCAGGGCGTATGCGCGCAGAGCACGTGGCACACGCGCATTGCGGGGCACAGACAGGCGCATGCGCCGTGGCGGGCAGAGTCCGGCGTATGCCCCGTTCGGAGCAGAATCCAGTGCGTGCGTAGCGCTTTTTTTTTTTTTTTTTTATCTGGAGGACTGATCACCATAGAGAGCGGCGGATTAGCGGCGCAGAGCGGTTAAAACGCCACTTCCGCGTTTCTACGCGCATGCGTTGTACCGCTTGCCGGCCTGAGCAGCGGGCAGCGGCAGTTCCGCGCATTGGCCACGAGGTGGCAGCAGAGACCGCGGGAAGAACTCCGGCGGCATTGCCGGGGACCCGCGGCGCAGGCCGTGGCGATCCGTTCCGCGTTGTGATGACGGGGGAAGAGCGCGAAGTTAAAAGCGGGGTGAAAAGACGAAGAAAACAAAGGGAAAGTACTCCAGACCCCGGAAAGCTGTGCTAAGTGCTTATGAACATCTGTTAAAATAGAAAACAGACTTGTTTTTGCCAGCATCCATTGCACTTTTTTTAAATATTCACATACCGAAATGCAACTGCCCAGCAAATGTAACGATAACGAGATAAAGCACTTTGGCAGAAAGCACAGGGCTATATTAACGTTTGCTCAGCCTCTGTCTTGTTCACATTTTAATGTATTTTTTTTCTAAGGTCTTTCTTCAACTCCAGGTTTCATTTTTGGCTTTTTATTCTTTTTAATGCCATAAAACGTGTAGTTTTAGGCCCTAGCAGGTCTACGCAGGCAGAGACAAAGTTGCAGTTCTGAGATTCTTGGGGACCGTTACATCATTTCCACAAAGATTAACAAAACCTGCAGTTCTCCACCGAAGTTTACAGATGGAAAACATGAATTCAGCTGCATAGAAAGAATCGATGTGTCACAGCTGCCATCGGCAGGATGGCCAGAGGGTTGTGCAGGTCCACCCGGCTCAGCTGCACCTTTTTTATCTGCCCTTCTGTGCTCCTCCTGCAGCTGGGCAGGTAGCCCACAAGGGCACAGGGGAGGCAGACCCCCCCGGCCAGCTGCAGCAGTCGCTCCTGCCAGCGCTCCCTTTCCTCCCGACCATTCCCATTTTGCAGGCTGGTGCCCTGTGTGGCAGAGGAGGAGAGAGCTGCGGGCAGAAGGAAAACAGGGTGCTGGGATTCCTCCAGCCCGCTGCCAGATGTCTTCTCTGGCATGCTGGGGGTGGGCAGAGGACTGCGGGAGCAGCTTCGAGGCTCTGGGCAGGAGGGAAGGCAGCAAAGATGCAGCTTCAGGCAGCGGACTCTGAGCTGGAGCGGTGCAGCCAGGCACGGCTGCACAGCTCACAGTCTGCACACACGGAAGAAGTTCGTCCAGCTGAGGGCTGCAGGGCTGTCCTTACCAAGCGCTCCCCCATGCTGCAGTTCTGCATGGGCACCGATTGCTCAAGCTCTTCCCACTGCAGGAGCTCAGAAGCGACAACAGCCCCGACCCCAAACCAGGCAGGTAATGACAACATACACACACAGATACACACCCGATACAGAATCTGGCACTCTACAGTCTGCTGCTAACATCCTGCACAGCAGTAAAAAAAAAATAAATTAAAGAACAAGCATTGTGTACACATCATACTAGAGTTAAGAAGGTCCCTCAAACGCAATGGGAACTGAAGTCAGCTGGACCCTTAAAATTGTGAATCCAAACACAGTAATATGGGCTCTTCTAATTGTTAGAAATGTTAATTTGATTAAATGCAGCATTTGATATAAATGTTTTCCATTTCCAAGAGATATAAAAGCATCATTGCAAAGTATACTTATATCAGTAATTGTTTGGTATGTGGGCAAGCTAAGGATTTAAACTTTTCACTTCTTGTTGTCCTGATGATTTTAAGACGAGAAATCAAATTGTTGCAGGGTTTGAATCACTGTCCTGGTGGGTGATGATCAACAAGAATGTAGATTGGATTAACTACATTTGTTATAATCAGTGGAGATTTACAAATTATACAAAAGGGTGCAATAAAGGGAACTGCAGAACAGTTAGATGCCACAAGTAGGATGGCCTGGGAAAATAAGATCTCCTAAGATATGATACAAGCTGGAAAAAAAAAAAAAAAAAAGTATGTGTAATGCTGGGTACCTGTTGTTGCACCTTCATCCCAATAACACAGCTCCAGGTGATAGAATAACTAAGGCATTGCAAGAGCTCACCACCCTTGCCAATGAACTGGCAAAATAATCAGGAATATATACTTCTATCACTGGATGGTTGGAGTCCTTTCTTGGTGAATGGAAAGGGGTGATTGTACCCACGTTTACTTCTTTCATAGTAGTAGCAGGAGCCCTGATGGCCATTGGTTGCTGTGTTATCCCCTGTGTGAGGGGACTGGTATGGTGATTGATCGAGACAGCACTATTGAAGCAAACACCAATGGAGTCACCACATTTGGATAAAATGATGGTATTAGAGGAGATGGGAAATAAAGAAAGTGGAGAAGAGGGAGATGTCTATAAAAGTGAAACAAACAAAAAAAAAATTGCAACAGTGTATAAAAAAAGAAAAAAGGGAGAATTGTGGGAATCAAATGTTGTTTCTGCATTAGAATTGGATAATATTTTTTTATTTCATGAACTCCGTTGTCATAGTTCTTTTTGGGAATCTTTTTACTTAACTTGGGGAAGATCTCTGATAGTTTACATTGTTTATCCTCTAAACAAACCTTCCCAGGACTGCACGCTCTGTATATGTATATTTTGTAACACACATTGCAAGAAGATCCTGCACGAGATCAAACCAGAGAACAAGGCAATTTATTAATAAATGTAAAACCTCCTGATAAGATTGTGGAGTACCCAGCCAGTGGGGGAACAGGGGAGAGGGGGGAGGCAAAGGGGAGAAGACAGGGTATAAAGACGGCCATGTTGTATCCATAGATGCGCTCCTGCTTGCGGGACGCCCGCCATTGCAATCATGAATAAAATCTGCTTTATCAGAGATACCATCCTGACAAAAACTATTTGGATGTTTCCAACAACTGGATGAAAATAGAATGCCTGACATCATTTTGGGGTGATTTGGACTATTTGATAAGTGGAAGTGTGTGTGTATATATGTAATATATGCTTTTCTGATCAGTGTGTATTCTCTGATTTGAATCACACTGAAGCTGCTGGTTTCATCACCAGAATTCCTTCAGAGGGTGGACCTCAGGCTTACCCTGATAACGTAGGGCAGCAGTGCTGGCTGGATGCCTGGCCCTTCCCCACAGCCATGCACACCCATGTTCTTGTGTTTATTTTTCCCCCCACTACCCAAAAAACAAGGAATCCCAAGCAGGATTCACTCTCAACCCCATGATGTCATCTGTTTAGAGGCAACAACACCTCAGTGCTTGGTGCTACTTTACTCACTGCCCTTATGGTTGGGGATCCACTGCTGTACTGCCAGCTTGGTAGATGCTGTAGTTGCATTTGAGAAATGGTGTTTCTGTGAAGCATGTTTTCAGTTGACAACACAGGGAGATAAAGGATGTTTGGTGACCGCAGCCCTGTAGGAGGTGGAGATACAGGTGGGGGTGATTCCTGTTTCCTCCCAGGTGTGTGAGTTTTGAGCTCTGATGTATTTATTCCTTCCTCGTGGAAGCACAAAGCAGGACGCAGCAGGCATTCTTTAGCTTCTGTCTGTCATCCAGTTTGCAACACGCATTGCTGTTATAAAAGTCCCTTGTTAAGTAATTGTGTTTCTCTTGCATAAGTGTTTGCTTTCAGGAAGCTGTAGCCAATCAGAGGCTGCAACTCACAGAAAGCATTCCTAACCACCGTGATTTCTGAAAATAATGCTCTGGTACTGATCTGCTGGAAGTGCTGGAAAAGCTCTGTAGGTTGGCTCAAGCAGAGGAGACTTCAGTGCCCATGGTGGCTGAACTACAGCAGTAAGGTGCTGCCAAAGCTCTGTGCTGAGCGGATCGTCGTGAGTAATATTTCTGATCCTTCTAAAGGGTGTCTGATGGCTGATCGCTGCAGGCAGGGAAATGCTGCAGGCTTTCATTGCCAAGCTGTGCATTAGAGGGAGGCAGGACGTGAGAGATGGGTGGTGAAGCTATTGACAGGGGTTAAAATAATGCTTTCCTCTTGGGCTTCTGTAAGCGAGCGCACATTTCTCGGAGGCTGTGTAGACATGTCTCTTCCAAATATGCTAATAAAAAAGAAAGGTGGTGCCGAATTCAATTACAGAACTGTCAGGAGAACGTAGATTTAGCTGGGCAGTGAGATGGAAGGGCCATTCAGCCCTGAATACTGGCTCAGTGTCTGACAACCAGTATTCGAGGGGAAAAAAATAGAAGAGCGGGGCAAGCATGCAGTGATATTTCCTCTGCTATATTTCCCAAGCTTTCAGAAATCTGCAGGTTAGGTTTTCCTGCATCGGGAAATATGTATTTGGTACTACAAACAGATTTTTTTCTCAGAATTTGCTAGCTCAGCATATCTCTGTTGAAGACAATAAGTTGCTTGGAGGTTTGTCCACCATAAATCTCATCAGGATTTGATAGCCTGAGTTGAGTTCAAAACGCAAGTTTTTCATGAAAATGAATGGGCCCTTTTCTGCTTAGGTGGAACTGGGTAGGAAAGGTGTTCATGGATTTAGCAGAAAACTCAGTCTCCTACTAAATTTCCTCTCCCACTTCCTTTTGCTGTATCTGGATGCAGCTCACTCACAGAAAAAGCCCAGAACTGTAAAACTATCCACTGAATGGGAAATGGAATTTGAGTTAGATGCTGAGTATCTCCGTTGTTATTTCTGCCAACCCTAGGAGGCACTGAAGTCTCTGTATAGAAAAGGCAGCTCAAGTGCTGGGCTGTGAGGGGAAATAAAGCTATTGCCCATGCTGCGGGTGCGTGTACACATAGTTTTATAGAACTTTTCCTTGATAGAACAAAGTTTTTACTAATGGAGATCACTTGGGAGAGCTCAAGTCACTACTTACGAAGCTTAAAAGATGTAATATAGAGAGAACTTACAATCTACAGAGTTCTGAAGACCTGCTAAAGCATTTGAATTATTTTGATAGCTGGTGGATGAGCAGGTAACTCATAAAGAATCACAAAGGTCAGGGAAGACCGCTAAGATCATTATGTCCAACCACTGACCCATGCCCACTGGCCATGTTCCTCAGTGCCACATCTTCATGGTTCCTGAATATTGCTGTGAGAAGTAGTGAAAACACCAACAGAAGTCAGCAGCTAAAACTGGGAGATTTACAGCTTCGTTTCTTTCACTAAAACAGATTCTGAATCAGAGAACAAAATGAAGCATGCATTAGTATGAACAAACAAAATCTCTTATCCTTTTTCAGGGTAAAATGGACTCCATGCCCAAGCTGAAGATTTTTGTGATGTTGCTGTCTCTGGCTACTTTCACAGCCATGGTGATACTGAATGCTGGAAATGCCACTGGTCTTTTCAAAGGTAATGCAAGCAAATGCTTTTTGTTCAGAGAGATAGTCTTTGCACTGCATCACTTTCTGATGCCTTAGATAAGTTTCACTTCTTCAAACCATCAGAGCCTCTTCCAGTCCCTTGAAATCTAAGCAAATGGTCTGGATGTATCTGCTGGTGAAAGTCTGTTTTTACACGTTGCCCTTGTATCCCTGGTGGAAGCTCTCCAGGTTCTGTTGCTGTGGGTTTTTAGGGGATGGTGCTTGGTTTGCATGCTGCCCAGGTCAGTCTGTCAGAAATGAGAGTCAAATGCTTCTCTTTGGCTTTCGCACGTAACTGGCTTTTCTGGTTCTGTGCAAGAGAAAGGTGCTCAGGGATCCCCATAAGGGATAGTGATCCTGTAATGGGTTTTTGAAAGGAAGCCAATTGAAGCATGCGGTTTGTTTTCAACAAGGGCATCCTCTCAGCTCTACTGAGGTGTGGACTAAACCTTGAGCAAGATTGCAGGTTGAGAAAATCAGCAGTCTTTCCCCATCCGTGGTATGTAATAATACATTAGGCTGCAATAACATTCACTACCAGGTCTGTTCCGGACAACCCCTGGCAACATCTCAGAGAAGTACAGCACCGACTTCACACCGGCTGGCTGGACTTTCCTCATCTGGAATGTCATCTATGCCTGGCAACTGGCGTGGCTCCTGTATGCGCTGTTGGGGATCTGCCGGAGGTACTCCCTGCCCATGACACAAATGCTGGGGGTGGCACTTCCATTCTGTGGTACAGTCTGTTACTCACACCCGGGGCTTTCTGGTGCAAAACCGCTGCCGTTCCTCTTGGCTTGACAGGCTGAATCTCTAGAGCTTCTTTCCAGTTCAGCATCCAAAGCATAGAAGCAGGTTGGAGGTCTATATGAACTACTTTGTAATCTGTCCACGCAAAGCAAGTCTACAGTTCTCTGAGGACTGGTTGTACCCACTAGTTCATGTAATCTAATAGAGTTACCCAGCAGCTGCTTTCCAGAGCCTGTTTGCAGAGTCTGTCACTTCTTTTGTAGTTCTTTTTTTTCATTTTTTTCAACATAAAAACATATCTTCTCAAGTATTGGCTGGAAACATCCTTTTTCACATCCTTGTTGTGGAAAAGGAGATGATAGAAGCTGGCAGAAACAGTATTTAGATTTTTTTAAATACTATTATTATTTATTAAGAGGAAGAGAATGTAACAGTTGTGAGGAATGGTGAGAAATGAGGCTTGGAAGTAGATGCGTGAGCAAGGATGAGAGATGGGGGAAGAAGGTGAACTGATACATATCGTAGAATAGATGTAAGAAAATTGATCAGAGGGACCACTGTCTAAAATTTTCCAGTGTGAAAATTTCCTCTCAGTGTGAGAAATTTTTCAACCTGAAGCCCTAAAGGTAAGGTGACAAGATGAGGAGGAGCTGTAAAATCATATAATGGCTTGGGTTGGAAAGGACCCCAAGGATCATCAAGTTCCAAAATATCTAGGTAAAGATAGTGAGTATTTGGATGGGAGGGTGGAAGTAGGTAGAATCGACTTACTGGCTTTACTTTTTTGTTTGTTTAAAGGAAAATTGCCTTTCCCTTCTCTAAAGTCTTGCAATGAATACTTGTTACAGTGATTACCTATGGTGGTAGAACTAAATGTTCCAGTTCTGCTAATGGTTCATGTAGGAGGCAAAATCTAGCCATGTGATGGCATTTTATATATGTATTTCAGTTGCCTTTCAAAAAAAAATTCAGATAACTAGATTGCAAAATTGCAATTAATACTCCTTCCAAATAGCAAAGTCAAGCAAAGGACTGCCACAAATGGAAGCTGTCTGTTTAGGCTGCCCACTGCCTTGGAAGGAACGCTGCTTCCACCCAAGTGTTTGTTTCTTGTTCTCCAGATACTCATCATAAGAGGCCTGTTGCCTGTCTGGGAGCTGCACTGAATGCTGTCAGGTTACAGGTGACACTGTTGTGTTTAGGTATATGAAGTGCTACAAAATACACTGTAAGGAAAGTTAGGCCAGAAGAATTACAAAGCAGGCTTCTGAAGGAGAAGTTCATGATGGCCTCAATTCTACCACCATAAAATGTGCTCTGATTGCAATCCAGGCGTATTTACTTTCTCCTTATCCCACCTGTCCCAGCTCCTGACTGTGCTGGGGAGCCTTGTGGGCTCTGCAGTGTCTGCAGGCAGCAGTGGGCACAGATCTGTCTCTGGTGTGCTGCCACCAGTGCAAGGGGCTTCCTGAATGCCTGTGGTCCTCTGCTGTGGAGCTGTGGAAAGAGAAGTGTTTGTGGCGGATTCTGATGGGGTTCGTTCTTTTTCCTTACAGAAATGAACTTGGATGTGTCTTCATGAAGCCGGACCTGCTGCCAATACCTTTTTACATGGCATGGATTCTGAATAATGGCCTCAATGTTGGATGGCTGTTTCTATGGGACAGAGAGTAAGCCACGCTTCTTACAGCAGCTTTCTAACCCTTATGTTGGGACTGCTTCACTAGTGAAACATTCGGGCAAGCCTTGGCAAAAACTACTCTTAAATGTCTGGTTTTTTACAATTTTCATCTTGTCCATGAGATAGATGGGCTGTTGAAGTTTTATCTCTTCACAATTGCTGTTCTTCAGTGTTTCATCCAACAGATAGGACAAGAGCCATGACAGCCTTCATAAATACAGTTAAGCTCATTGCCTTGGATTGTTTTCATCATCGTGCTGGCATGAAGGGCTTATAATAGTACCACTGTCAAGAGATGAAGAAATCAGCTGCTGTGAGGAAATAATAACTTAATGATTAGGAGTAAAACAGTATGTCAAAATGAGGCCTACACATAGCGATTACCTTTATTAAAGGCTTGATTAACTTAAAGTCAGTAAAGGCCAAACACTAAAGCTATGAATTAAGGCATTGTGACACCACTGAAAAAATGCATTGTATGTTGTGTGGTTTTTTTTTTTTTGTCCTAGATACCTACTCCCAGCCCTGCTGTTGTTGGCAGCCCTCACTTTTACCACGGATGCTGCTCTCTTCATTTCACACAGAGCCTTGAGTATCCATTCCATGTGGTTCATGAAGGGCCACCAAGTTGATCTCTGGCTCATCCGAATCCTAGTAGGTGGCGTTTAGGGAGCTGAAAAAGCATTTTCGAGGAGCTGAGAGGGTTATCAGTGGAGCTGCAAATGTGTACATGTGTAAATGTTTCTGCTAGAAATGTCTCTAAGTCCCTTGGCACAAACTGGGGGTGGGCATTGTTCTGTCCACCCTTGCATTTCTATTCGTGAGGTGCAAGCAGAACAAAGGGAATTGAAAGCATCTGGGTTCCTTATCCTCACCCTTGTCCTCTTGCTGTACTCGTGGCAGGTGCAGAATGGGCTGGCACTGTATGCCACATGGACCACCATCGCCACTCTGCTGAACTTTGCCGTTGTGTTGATCTACAAGTGGGATGTGTCCAATGAGACAGCAACCACTGCCTCTCTGAGCATCCTCACCCTCATGCTTGTCCTGTGGTGAGCAACCTCCTGAGTTCCTTCTGGGCCTGGAAGAGCTCTTCTATCTCTAATGTATCACAATCAGTCCCTCTCAAAGAATGAAAACTCACTCAACCAATTTTGATTCTGTAACCTTGCTGTAATATACCCATGGGATATTACACTGGGCAAAAAAAAATAAATCCATTTCCCATGGCCAAGCCCCTTCCTGGGAGGAGTAAGGGGGATTTTTACATGTTGAATTTAAGATTCTCCTTCATACCTCTCCATTTGCAGAAAACTTGCATCTAATATTTATTTTTCCCTACATTTACCCTTTAATTTTTTTATTAATCTTAATAATTTTAGTATATGACTATTTTGAGTTCTGGTCCATGCCTCCAACAAAGCATTCTTAATCTGACTCTTGTCTTAAGCTTTTTATGGGTGGTGGGGGGGGGGGATTCCAATGAAACAAACATACAGCTTGGTCGTTGTTTTTCTCCACAGGTTTTGTCAGGAGAACTTCTTTCTTGATAAGTACGTCCGTTATAACCTCACGATCTACCCGGTGGTTATAATAGCTCTGACTGGCAGCATGTGCAAGGACTTCTCAGTTTCCTCCCCAACCACCAACGGTGTTTTTATAGGTGAATCTCTCATAATCTTTGGAACAGTGTGCTTCTGTTTGCAATTGAGGTTATTGCCTGTGAGCCTTGGGGTTGAAATCAAACCTGGTGTTGCTTCCTGTCCGCTTCCCACTGCAATAAATTTGCTCTGTGATCACATGTTTGTGATGTCCCAGAGAAACTTGCCAGCCCTGTGAGCTTTTGGTGCTCTGCTGGTAGCTCCCTGCCCCCTGACACAGGGCAGGCATTCAGAACACAGGTCTGTGATGAAGTCTGTGGGCTTTGCTTTGTATTGCTTGTGATTATGGAGCAGTGCTTTAATGTCTGACCCAAGCAGGAGCAATATCTGAATTCCACAATGCAAAGCCCTGCACGTGCTCCTCTCCTGTGCAGTCTAGGCTAGCACTGACAAGTTTGGCGAGGATTATTTTGTTGCTGAGGGCTGCTGTAGCTGAGCTGGATGTAGTCATACACTGTAAAAGGGCTTAAGCTGCATACATGCTGTACAGGCAACAATATGGCAAAAGCTGTGTCATTATGAGTAGTTATATGCAAGCACGAAAGAGGCAGAGATGTGCAAACCCTTTCTTGCTGAAGCAGAAGAGAGCGTATTTTCACCCTTCAGCCCTCCCAGTGCTGCATACCAGTGGCTGAAGCCAGTTGCTGGGCTTGCACCTCCAGCATTGCAGCCGCCTTGATGTGTGTTCCCCTTCTGCTGGATGGGCAGGGTGTGCAGCTGGGAGTCAGGATTTGCCTAGGAGCACCCAGCAGGACTAAGCAGAGCTCATCTGCCAGAGCCACAAGTCCATTGAATCCTGCCCTGGTGGTTGTGGCCATCTGCAATGTGGAGGTGTGTAAAGTCTGGCAGACAGCTCTGCTCCTGCAGGAGGTGCTTTTCCTGCCTTTATACCAGCAAACTTTCATTCTTAGTGGTTCAGCTTGTTTGGCAAGTAGAGCAAGAATGTGCTTTTCCCAAACTGGTGCCTGTTTCTTTATATAGTTCAACTATTCTTGGACTTGTTTGTTAATGTCATGTGTTTTTATGCCCATGTCTATAAGATTTCCATGTTTTTTAGACATGCCTTGACCTGGAAGCATTGGTGTGTTACTGGTTATTGGTCAGAGCAGATTTGCCTTACCCTATGGCAGCCTCCTGACATCATGGGGGTAATGGCTCCTGGACAGAGGCCTTTAGGTTTGCTTTAGTCCTTTCCCTGCTGTCTGAGAAGCTAGAAAGTGACAAGAAGAACTGTCATTCTTTTGCATGCTAACATATTTCTTTGTTTCTCTTCTAGTTGTACTGCTGGCACTGACTTGTTTTATCTTTGCTGTTCGGCTGGCGTTAGTCATAAGGAAACACAGTAATGAACTGCTGGAACCACCAACATCACCACAGCCATCAAGCACAGTGGCCTGAGACCTGTGGTATGGTGATGTTATGACAGAAGCTTTAAAGGGAGAATAGAAGCTGAGCATCCTGCAACCACTGGTGCCTTCCCTCCAGTAACAATTGCCTTTTTTTTGCCTTTTTTAATATATATATTTTTTCTCTTTTTTAATATATCCTGGATTAGCACAGCTTTTGCCTGCAAACCTGTCCTCCTCCCCTATTCTCTGAGCTCAGCTATTTGCAGCTCCACCTCAAACATGCAGCCTCCTCTGCTCATTTTGTTTTGGATCAATGGAGGAAGAGGTCCTTTATATGAGTAGCTCTGTATACCTTTGTGATGACAGAACTGTGAGGAGGGCTGTCAACAGATGCTTGGCACAGAGTTGCCTCTCACCCTTCCCTGCCCACCACAGGTCCCAGGAGAGGAGGGACGGCTGAATACTTCTGCCACAGCTGCAGGTCTTTAGCCTATTTCAGGTTGCTCTAACTCTAGAAACTGACAATGTGCTCATGTCTCAGCACACAGTATTATCTCTGTCCCTCTGCCTTGTTTTTTCTTCTGACTTTCTTGCTGAAGTTTGTACTGTGTTGGTGCCTCCATCAGTGGCCCCACCCACTCCTCCTTTCAGACAGGGGAGATCTAGGTGATGTGAGAGCAGTGGATTGCTTTTCCTGAGCTGTGCCCATTCGGTGGCTGCCTCCTCCAGGAGGATGCTTTGCAGCCCTTCTGCTGGGATATCAGCCATTCTGACACCACAGTACCTAATGGAGGGCAAACCCTGCTTCATAGACCACTTCTTGTTTTCTGAGCTGCACAGAGTGATTTCATCCTGGATCAGTGCTTTGTAATGTGACTTCACCACCGCGGGCTTGCTTTGGGAAGCCTGACTGAGAACTGACTGGATTGTCAGACCTCTGCCTCTATTTGCTGTGCCTGATAGATTTGATGATGCCTTGCTGGTGTCTGGAAAGTCTTCCTGGATGCCTGGTGCTTGGAAATGCTGAATATCTTGCAGTACTCTCACAAAGGTGAATTCTATTAAAATACAATGCTATTGTTTACATTTAATGAAGAACAAAGTCTGTATTTGATTCTTGTCATTCTATCGTTTCTTATTTTTAAATAAAGCAGCTACTGCCAACACTTCTCATGCAACCACAATCATTAAGGGTGGAAAAGACCTCTAGAAGTGTCTTGTCTAACCATCAACCCTTCCCACCATGCCCATTGTCCATGTCCCTCAGTGCCACATCTACACTCTGCATGAAGCTGTAGGTAAATGACTTTTGGAACCCATGCTTACAGCAGAAGGCCTGACTTTTACCTGCACCGTGCCTCAAGGACTTGGTCCAGATCTGGTGCCTGTAACAGCCTCAGGAAGCCCTTCAGACTATCATAGAGCAGTAGCTTGGAGGCACACATGCTCCATTCCTGTATCGGCTTTGCTGTCTGTGGCACAGTGTTGGGATACTACCCCAATCTCATCCTCTTGGCTTAAAATGAGCTGAAAGGAGCTCCTCACTCCAAGTGCTGTAGCACTGTGTTCATCTTGTGCAGACCTCCCTGCAAGGAATCCCCTGACAACTGCCCTGAAATGCTGGTGCTGAGCGAGCCCCTGGGCTGGCCCCACACAAACAAGCTGCTGGGCTCCAAGCCACCTTCCACCACCAGTCCCTGGAGCTGTGGCAGGCAGACGTTCCCACAGCACAGTGTTTCCCTGCCAGCATTGGGAAAAGCAGCTTTCCTTGCATCCGTGGCAGGAACAGGAGCCTAAAAATATAATCACCCTGCCTGCCCCTTTCCTTTTAGCTGCAGGCGGGGCAGGGCTGAAAACTAGTGGTGTAAGCCCTCCCATTTGCTATTTTTAAAGTTTGTTTCTTTCTGAAATGCCTTGTTTCTGCTTGTTTTCTAAAATCAGAAATACCAATGATGTGCATTTTCCCCCACAACAGATCACTCTTCCAACAAAGCTGCATTTCACGAAGCTACAAGCCTGCCAGCTTTTTGGCATGAATAATCTGCCCGGCTTTTGTTTCCGTGAGCAATTATGGGATTGGGGTGAATTTTACTGGATTTAAAATTTCTTGGAAAGCTGATGGTATTAAGAACCCAAAGCCTGAAAAATTGTGTTTGTTTCTAAAACCATTAATTCCAAGACTTGGCAAGAGCCTGTGTCTCTCTCTTAGCAGGATGCAAGCTGGAATAAAATAAAATTAAATTGAGACTGCCAGGGAGAAGGAGTAGAGTCATAGAATAGACTCATAGAATCACTGGGAAAGACCACTAAGCTCACCAAGTTGGACCCCAACCCATCCCCACCGTGTCCACTGACCACATCCCTCAGTGCTACATCTTCACAGTTCAGGTTCACCTCCAGGGATGGTGAGCTCCCCACTCCCCAGGCAGCTGTGCCACTGCCTCACCACCCCTTCAGAAAGGAACAGGAGCAACCTCTCTGGGGAACATGGTAAAGATCTCTGGATAAAAGCACCAAAGTCATCTGGCAATGATGAAAGGGATACGCAGCCTTTGCTATGCATGCAGTCTAAACACGCTTGGGCCATCCCGAGCGCTTTGAAAACTGTTAGATGTTTTAAAGCTAAATATTTATTTTATCTGCACAGAGCCGGGACAGCCCCGTGTCGGGAGATTAGCACAGCTCCTTCTGCCAAAGGCATCTCGGCACCGAGTCACAGACTTGGGTGCAACTCACGCATGGGATGAACATGTGGGAAAATGATGCTGAAGGAGCCTAACGTCCTGACCCTGCCCCCAGCAGAGCCGTGGCAGCAGCAGGCAGCAGCCCCATGAGTGTGCCATGGGCTACCCCTGCACTCTTCACCTCCAAGCCCTTGAATACCCACACAGGAAAGCTGTGTTTTTTCTTGCCTCTTTGGGAAGAAATGAGTTTGTGGATGCTTGCCCGGTACTTAACACATTGAGAAAAGACTTCTCTTGTTTGGGATGGGTCCAATTGGGAGTGCAGTGGCATGATCTAGTGACATGGTTTCTCCTGATGTTGTTCTGACAGCTTAAAAAAACAGACAGGACTGGAAATAATTCAACTTATGAGACCCGGGGCATGAATTAGGGAGAATAAATAGTTCGTGTTTGTGCCCATGCCCAAGAACTGCCTCACTATATAGCTGGTGGGGCTGTGGGCCTTAGAGCGATGCTCAGAGGTCCCAAATCTGGTGTGGGCTTTGCAAGGTCTGCAAAGCAGGATGGCCCTGTGCAGCCCATGCCCAAGCTGCTTAGGCACTGTGCATAGACTAACTAGCAGCTGTGTGTGGTGAATTCATTGAGTGCTCATGCAAAAGCAAAGAGGGAGTGTGGATGCATGTGGGTTTGGTACAAATGTGTGGATTCGTCTGGTGCCCATGCAGGAATTCATTGTTTGCCCGTACTTGAGCTCTGTGGGTGCTCATGCATGAAGTAATTGGACTCATACATAAATTAATTGGGTGCTCATGCATCAGCTAATTGGGTTCTCGTGAATGAATTAATCGATTGTTCTTGCATGAATTAATCTAGTGCTTATGCACGAGCTGTTTGAGCTCTTGTGCATACATTAATTGAGCACCCATGCATGAATTAGATATGTGTTCATGCACAAATTAATCAGGTGCTCATACATGGATTATTTTGGCACTCGTGCAGGAATTAACGAGGCTGCAACTTCTGCTGTTTGTGCCCACTGCCCCCACTAGCCTGCAATGACCAAGCTCCACTCCCATGCATCGTATCATTACCAAGGGTGCAGAGCACCATCTAGTGAAAGCTGGTGAGGAAACCATCGCTGCAAACCCTGAGAGGCTCCGGGTGAACCAGGCAGCTAAATCAACATTACCACTGTTTTTTTCCTCTCTTTTTCTTTTAAGATGCTTGAACTCTCTCTACACGCAACTTGAGCCCAAGCAGCTGGAGAGCTGCAATCCCCTTGCAGAGCCTGGGAGAGGCCGCAGCCCAGCAACCTGCCACCTGCAGTCACTCTAATTAAAACCTCCAGGATGAATTCACATCTCTTTGTTTTTTTTTTTTATGGACGTGTCTGAAGTCTCCCATTGCTTTGAGTAGTCTGCACTGTAATGAAGTTTTTAGCAACAATACTTGAGCTTTGCAGCTACTCTTTATGGCCAAACATCTCAGAGGGGTGTTGAGCAGGTTTGTTAGGAAAAGAGAACGCTTTTTGGTGTAGGAGATGACTGGGGACAGGCCTGTAACAGTAAGTCACTGCCACCACCCTCAGCTGGCAACAGACGGGCCCTTAGTGAGCCATGGGGACCCAGTCCAGCTGGGTCATCCTCCAAGGTCGCTTCATTGGGGCCCCAAAGTCCTGCTTCAGTGAGCCAGCCTGGTTGATAGCATGGCACAGTTCACGCTCAGGGGAAATTTCCTCATCCTCCATGCCACCACTGTGCTCAACTGAGAGACCAAAGGCTGCACACGCCTCTGCTGGGGACATCTCCAATCCTCCAGTCCAGCAGCACCTTTCCAAAGGGTGGACCCACAGCTTCCCAGCCCTTCGGTTGGCTGGGTGAGACCCCAAGGAGCTGAAGATGCTCATTTTGGCAAATGGAGAAGGCCCTTTATGCCAACCCATGCCAACAGGTCCTCTGGGCAAGGGAGGACTGTGCCTTTGCCCTACAGGGTGGGATAGTGGAGCTGCTGCTTTGGCTTTATGGAGCTGGTAGTGCCTGGAGATGTGGGATAGCTTCGGCCCCATGGCTGAAGGCCACGTCATGGCCTTTCGTTAGATCTTCAAAACCCTCTAGAGGGAGCCCTGATCCCAGACATCCCTTGTAGAGGGCTTGAAAGGCCACAAAGGTGCTGCGTGAGTGTAGAGATGGAGGGTTTGCGGGTTTTTTCTTTCTTTTTTTTTTCTTGCTTTGTCTGTCTTTCTTTCTTAGTCTTTCTTTCATAGTCTTTCTTTGTATTCCTTCCTTCCTTCCTTCCTTCCTTCCTTCCTTCCTTCCTTCCTTCCTTCCTTCCTTCCTTCCTTCCTTCATCTTCTCTTCCTTCTCCCCCTCTCCTTTACTCATTTACCAGCCCTGTGAAACCCTGTTGTGACATCTGATTTCCATCCGCTTGGGCAGTAAACTGACATTTTTCTCACGGTCTCTGTGCTCTTGTGCCTTGGGTCTCTGCCAAGTGCTCCACATCTTCAACTTTCTTCATTTTTTTCTTTTATAGACCAAGTCATCCTCTGCTCTGCTCCATCCCTTTCTCACCCTTTAAAGGAAGTAAAGGAAAATGTTTCCAGCTCCCAGCACTTCAATGTCCCTGCGTCATGGCACACTGTGGGATGATGGAGTGCTTCCAGGGATGGGCACAGCCCATTCCTGCACTGTACCTCTGCCATCACCTCCTCCTGGCTCCATAGGAAGAGGAAGAGAATAGTTAAGTCTTTTTGGTGCTTGTTTCCTGAGTCTGAAATTCCCTTTGCGTCCTTGCACCATGCTCAGAGGGGAAAAAAGTCATACCCAACATGCAGAGGCTTGAGTGGAGAGGTCACGGTACGAGCATCTGCTGACGTTTCCTCTGTCATTTGCCACGATGGTGCATTGCTGTATCTGAGCACTTAACATACAATGCAATTATTAAGTACTACTAGTTGCTGCTTGGGTGTTAAATTCATTTAGCCACAGAAATGGAGCTTCGCTTGTAGCCCTGCTGTGCTCCTTAGCATCCCTTCAGCCCTGCTCAGATGAGTCACCCCAAGCACGCAGCCCAGATGATGCAGAAGCCATCTGAAATGACTAAGCACTTCAGCAACTGAGCCCTCTGATCCCTCAGCAGGAGGCTTTGGCCATGCCTTTGCACCAAAACACCCATTTGCCATCAGAGCATCCCTCCGTCATGTGCAAATTTTCTCTTGTGTTTGGTTTGCAAGTGCCCTTTCTTCTTGCAGGGGGAAGGAGAGCACATCCCATTGACCTGCAGGGCAGGGCACTCATTGCTTTCCGCAGGGAAGACACCCAAACAACGCAGCTCAAGCAGAGGTTTGTCTGGGGATGAGTGAACTCTGTCCCTTTTGGGTTTCTGCCATAGGAAGCCTACGTCCCTCAGGTCAAAAGGGCTGCCTGCTTGACGCAGGGGAAGTCCTACAAATAGGCAGCCCCACCATCCCGCCTGGACTGGTT